GAGGCCATCAGAACTTTGAAACACAACATATGGAACGTCCCACGGTTGCCAAGTGACCAGTCGTAAGTCAAGGACGTAGAATTGAGGCAACCAACCTTCTCATCTCACCGAGGCCATTAGGGCAGCCTTACCTCCACTTCCACCACCGCTACCAACTCCGATTCCACCGCCATTTCCACCACTGCCTCTGTAGCCGCCTCCTCCTCCTCCTCCTCCACCTCCTCCTCCTCCTCCTCCTCGGTTCTGGAAGCCGCCCCGGCTGCCCACTGGCGGGCCTCGATTGTCAAAGCGCTGAAACCCTCCGCCGCCACCTCGGCCACGGAAACTGCTGCCGCCGCCGCCGCCCCAGCTGTCAAACCGCTTTTCGGGGGGCGGGCCGGCTTTCTTGCCTTCATCGTTGTACTGCCTCACCAGCTTCTCGGCCTCGTCCCGCTGCAACTCAATGTAAACCACCGAGTCGAGGAAATCGCCGGCTTCTGGCAGGGCAAAGTTGGCTGCCGGGAAAGGAAACCCAAGATGCACGTCAGTCCGTGTGAACCGAGGTGGGGTGGGGGACAGGCTAAGTCACAGGGGGCGGGACTAAGTGGGGGGGAGCTCCAGGGATTTGGGAACAGCAGAAAAGGGAGGGGGGGGGGGGGGGGGAGAGAGAACAGAAGGACATGGCTTAAAACCACAAGCAGGGAGAAGAGAGAGAGTTCCCTTCCTTTGTGCCCATCGACAAGTAGGGAAAATTATCCTGGTTTCAAGCAGAAAGCTTTATAAACAGTTCTCGACTTACGTCCATTCATTTAGCATCTGTCCAAAGTCACAATGGCGTTCAAAACAGTGACTTAAAGTGACTTTTATGTCCAGCTCAGCAGCATCCCTGCTGTCACATCAATCAACATCCAGTTGCTGAGCAACCGGCAGGTACTTAGGACTTTATGAATTGCTGGTTGTGACCTTCCAAGCTGGCTTACCAAAAAAAAAAAAAAACTGAAGCCAACGGAGAAGGCTGGACTCACTTAATGTCCACGTGATTTGTTTAAGCTGACCGCATTTTTCCTGTTCTGGGGTTTCTTCCCCCTAGAGAAGGCTGCTGCTGCTACAGCTTCCCAGCAGTCAGTTGTAAGGGTGAGGCTTTCCAACTTTTAAACGAGGTTAAGGCATCAGGGTAGAAAGCCAGATGGGTGGCTTTAGGCCAATCACCAGGAGACACTGAGTTGTAGTCCCGCCTTAGCCATGAAAGCCAGCTGAGTAGGTCTGGGCCAATCACCAAAAGGTGGTGAGTTCTAAACCTGCCTTAGCCATGAAAGTTGGCTGGGTCACTCTGGGCCAATTACCAGGAGATGGTGAGTTCTAGTCCTGCCTTAGGCACCAGAGCCAATTGGGTGACTTTGGGCCAATCACCAGGAGGTTGCGAGTTCTAATCCCACCTTAGACATGAAAGCCAGCTGGGTGGCTTCGGACCAATCACCAGGAGATGCTGAGTTCTAGTCCCACCTTAGTGGCTGCGTGAAATTTAGGCCAGTCCCTCTCCTCTCTCTCAGCCCAACTCATCTCTCACAAGGTGGTTGTTATGGGGAAAACAAGAGGAGGAAGGTGCATTGGGTGTGTTTGTTGCCTTGTTTATAAAAATAACAAAGGCGGGATTCAAAGAAATAAACAAAATAAAAATAAACCAAGACAACTGCAGACGTAAAGCATCCCAGGTATGGGAGCGGGTGGGAGCTTAAGAAATTGCAGAGGGAAGAGGAGGAAAACAAAGAGAGATCTAAAAACATCCTTTTAAAGTCCTTGAACTACACACACCAGCGCAGTCAGGTTGGATTTTCTCCTTTTCATACCTGCCATGAACGCGAGGTTTGCCTTTCCTCTTTCAACAACCTACCTTTCATTTCTTTCTTTTTTAATATTTTTTTATATACAACAAATCATTCCATTTCAATCATGTGTCAACTTGGATACATATTTCAATTATTTAAACATTATTATTTAAATAATTTAAACGATATTCTTATCAAATCTAACAATACATCAATGTTCCCATATATATATAATAATATCGCACATTATATACCTTTGCTTAAATTTCTCTAATCGCGGTATAAATAGATGAAATATTTTTTAGGGTTGTTCTATTCTCTATCCATTGATAAAACATACTCCATACCATGTAATATTCTTTTTGCTTTAATTTCTAGTGTCATCTATTCATTTCTGCACATTCAAATATTTTTTTCAATAATTTTTTTCCTACCTTTCATTTCTAACACTGCGTGATCCGGCACGTCCTTCCCCTCTTCATCCGTGCGCTTTACTGTCCGGTCTTTTAAATCGTCGTCCGTGGGACAAATTACGATAGCTTTGCGTTGAAAACCTTCAAAAGGACGCATTTTTCGCCTCTGGGCTGATCCATAAACATTTGTCTAGCAACGATAATAAAGAAGGTGGTTTTTAAAAATAAGTAAGTAAGTAAGTAAATAAAAGACCTGGTTATTTAGCTCTTTAAGGCTCCCAATGCTCCACAATGGAACAAGGACTTCAAAGAGAGAAGGAAACTCTGGTTTCCTGCCCCCCATTCCTCCCTCCCCATGGATAGAGAAATGGATGAGAGTCCTCCCTGACAACGAAGCAACCTTGAAGAGATCCTCTCGTTTGTTTAAAAGGTGAAAAACAGCAAGACGTGACATTAATGGGCACCTTATTGCAATTCAAATGAAATCCCCCCCCGCCCCCAGAAGGCTAGGTTAAGAGGGCAGCAATGGCTTTGCCTCAGAGAAAAGTGCATTTTGCCTCAGGAGGGGGCAAATGAAGCAACAGGGCATTCATTTAAACGCACTGTTTGCGTATAAGAGCCCTCCAAGCACTACAGTTAACTAGGAGGTTTAAAAAGAGGCTGCTGTCTTAAAAGACCACCTCTGGACATTTGAGTGGAGGAAAGAGGCAGGAAGGCTGCCATGCTGAATTGCATGGGGGAGGGGAGAGCCAAACTTGACAACTTCTGAGACTTGTGGACTTGAAGTCCCAGAATTCCCTGGAGGCAGCACGTGTCTACGGGTCTTAAAAATTGCCAAGGTTGGACAATCCTGATCTTAAGGCATCGTGTTTGAAAGGCATTCGCCTTCAGAAAGATCTATTAGGCTCAAGAATCCAAAAAAAAAAAAAGCTGGCTTGATTAGGCCTTATCTAGAATTTGAAAAGCCAGGATTACTGGTTTGCTTTGATTCTAGAATTAAAGGTTGCACAACGGCAGTCACCTATGGGTGGGTTGAGCGGCTATATAAATTTAACAAATAAAATAATAATAATAATAATAATGAAAAATAATAATAAAATAAAAATGAGGTAGGTGGGCAGGGCACATTTCCACCCGCTCTGGCTGGCACAGCTTACTACACATCTGGCCACAGACCCCTCCCAGCTGTCCCCGTGAAGTCAGAGGAGGGGGTTTCATACCTGATCCAGGATGTAATTCCGCTTTTTCCGGGCTGCAATCTGGATTAGGCGGTTCAGGCACTGTGTCGCTTGCTGGATGAGAACGTCCCAGCGGCCGGCGTAATTGCGCTGCCGTCGGAGTCCCATTACCTGAGAAAAGGCAGGGCGGTGAGGGCAGCTGAGTGGGGGGAGGAGAAGATGCCATAGCAAGAGCGGCCCCTATAGCTGTCCTGAAGAAGGTCTTGCTTCTGGCATTGGGTCTGAAAGGGGATGTGGGGTCCCAGGGCGATTCACACAGGAGTTATGAAAGGAGGCTATCAGAATAATATACAGGTAGTCCTTGACTTACGGCTGTAATTGACCCTGGAATTACAGCTGTAAGTCATTGTGGTCGTAAGTTGAGGCGCCAGGTTCCCCAAGACCTGATTTTTCAACGTTGTTATTAAGTTGTTATTTAGCAACATTGATTTATGCGGATAAATGAGTTGGACAGCACCTTTTCCAACTAGCAAATTAAGAGGCCTCCACTAAAGCTCGTGGAGGCTGATGCCTTTTAATAAAACATGTTAATTGGAAAAGATGCTTTCCAATATTTGACTACCAGAGAATAATATGACTTTTCTAGAAGTATATGGTCCAACCCTGGCAACTTTAAAACATGGCTGGCTGGGGAATTCTGGGAGTTGAAGTCCGCAGGTCTTAAAAGTTTCCAAGGTTGGACACCCCTGGGTATAGGGACTCCTGCTTGAGCAGGTGGCTGGACTAGAAGACCTCCAAGATCCCTTCCCACTCTGTTATTCTGTATCCTCCAATAAAGCTTGAAAGTGGGAGCTTCTTGCATCAGAATCCCTGCAAGGCAGTGACTTCACAGTCAGTTCTCAAGTAGGACACTGCAGTCTTCTCCAATCTGCCACTTTGCAGATATTTTGGGATTGCGGCCTCCTGGGGTCCCAATTAATTAAGGGCTGGCCAGAAATTCTGGGAACTGCAATCCATCCACCCACTTGGAGGGTGGCAACTTGAAAAGCTAGTCGTGACCCAGACTTTGAGCACTGTTGTATAAACAGGCCTGGTGATTAAAAAGAGGGGAAAAAAGCTAATCTATAATTCTCTCTCTTTCTCACACACACACACACACACACACACACACACACACACAGGAATGTAAATGGAACAATCTGGAGAACTGGGAATTTTCCATTATTCTAGAAAGATAATTTGGGATGGCACGGACCTGAGCACCACACAGCAAGTATCCCGCCCTCGCCCTGGCTCCTGCCAATCAAGCAGGTCGAAAACGTGCAAATGCGAGTAGATTAATAGGTACCACTTTGGTGGGAAGGTAACAATGCTCCACGATGTCACGCTGGCCACGTGACTGCGGAACTGTCTTCAGAGTTAGCTCAATGGTCTTGAAACGGAACTGAGTACCGACCCCCTAAAGTTGGCAATGACTAGTGGAATAAAACCCACAAATACCTTTATAAGAAAATCCACCGGCTACAAAAGGAAGTCTTTTCTGCAAGGGACCAGCCAGTAAAATCATTTTGAAAAAGACAGTGAGCTGTTCTAAGTTTGACAGGCAAGGAAGTGGCAGAGGCCCACCACAAATGAGGAAGCCGACAGGAGAAACCAGCCTCCAAAGCTTACCCTCATTTTGTCCATAATGGCGTTTGTTCCCAAAATATTATACTTCTTGGCTGGATTGGCTGCGGCATGCTTAATGGCCCACGTAGTCTTCCCAGCGGCAGGCAACCCCACCATCATCAAGATCTGAAACACAGGGTGTGACTTTAACATCGGCTGCAAGCCAGTAGCGCAACCCCCGAACCAGTTTCCCAAAACAAACCTCTCTTTTACAAATCCAGTGAGGAAAAATAATAGCAGTTTTCCTCTATTGATTGTCTGAGGACAATCCGTTCCAGACACAGAAATGTGAGATTATAGGCATCTCCTAGCCTCGGAGGCATTAAAAAAAAAACCCAACATTTTAACCTTTATAGTTTCTTTTAACAGATACAGGGAGTCCTCAACTTACAATAGTTTAGTGACTGTTCAAAGTTACGAATGGCTGTTTTTCACACTTAACGACCGTTGTGGCATCCCCACGGTCACGTGATTCAAAAATTCAGACTCTCTGACAATGGACTCCTGTTTATGACGGGGTCACGCGATCCCCTTTCGCACTTTTTGACCAGCAAAACCAACGGGGAAGCCGGATTTGCTTAACGACCGGGTGATTGACTTAATGACGTCAGGGGTTCACTTCATAACCGCGGCAAGAAAAATCGTAATACGGAGCAAAATAACAGCTGTTTAGCAGCAGAAATTTCTGGGCTCAAAATTGTGGTCCAAAGTCAAAGACTACCTGTGTAGCTTTATCGGTCTAACATCCAATCAGCGATCACCATCTTAGTGGCTGTGTTTGAGTCTGTGAACCTCTGATTGGCCCTTTTCACTGCTGACAAATTGGGAGACTGAGCATTCACTTCTGAATTTTTTTGGTAAGCAGTTTAAGACAGCGGTCGCCATCCAGTGGGCCGGGGACTACTGGTGGTCCGTGAGAAAATTTTGGTGGTCCTCAGAGAAATGTCACCCCCAAAGCAATTAATCCAGGCTGCGCAAGAACACAAGGCTTGCATCGCTTGCATTGCGAACAACACGAGGTAGTGAGGGGAGGGGGGAAAGGGCAGAAGGGGAGGACTTGCCCCACTCGCCTGCCCTGCCCACCGGGCTGCTTCTTTCCGCTTCTTTCTTCTTCTGCTTTTGGCTGCATGCAAGGAAAGCAGCGGAAGTCTTTCTTTCTCTCCCCGAAACTCCACCAGAAATGAATCTTTGGGACCGTGCAAGGCCTCCTGCTCCAAGAGGCTTTGCCGACACAACCAGCCGCACAAAGACTCATTTCTGGTGGAGTTTGGGAGAGAGAAAGAAAGACTTTTGCAGCTTCTGCTACTTTCCTTGCATGAAGCCAAAAGCCTCTCTCTCTCTCTCTCTCTCTCTCTTCCCCCCCCCCCCCCCCCCCCCC